ATTTTAATGGTATTTAATATCTGCTAAAGGCAATAACTCTATTGGACAATATTGTCCTGAGGATGGAAAGAGGGCAATCTGGTGGTATTGAGAATCTACTAAGAACGATAATTCTGATGGACAAAATAATCTTGGATTCCGTTATGAACATAATATAGGCACTGCTAGGGATGGGAAAAAAAGCAAAGCATTTGTGTGGTGTGTAAAATCCGCTAGAGGAGGTAATTCCAGTAGACAATGTACTCTTGGAAGGGGTTACCAAAATGGAATAGAAATTGGTAAAGATGAGAAGAGTGCATTTGAACGGTATGTAAAAGGAGGTAACTCGAGTGACAATGTAATTTTAGAAAATGTAATCAAGATGGAATCGGTACTGCTAAGGATGAATCAACTGAATCTGGTAACTTCGTATAGTGCTATCAAAATGAAATAGGCACTACCGGTATTAAGAGCATTTGTGTATTTTACAATCTACTAGTGAACGAAGTCACGAGGCATTCATTTGTCACGAGATCATGACCAGACCCAGACCCAGACCCATGACGTCAAATAAGTATGATGGATAAAGTGATGATTGTATGAGGTCATGGTAAATGACTATTTAATGAAGAAATAGAAATTGGTTCTTTTGTTTTTGCTGTGAGCTTGACGTAAGTCTAGCTTTGTCGTAAATGCCAACCACCCACTGCCGAAAGCGGTGAAAAGAGTTGGGAAGGATATTTTTGATTAGTTGTGAGTATGGTTTCGATAGCACGGGCGAACAGCCTGGATATCATGGTAAGAGTTTGGTAGCCCGGCTGAACAACTCGGATATCAAAGGAAAGTAGGGAATGGTGCTTTTTATTAGTCAAGTTTTGATAGCCCGGGCGGACAACCTGGATATCATGGTAAGAGTTTGATAGCCCGACTGAACAAGTCGGATATCAAAGGAAAGTAGGGAATGGTGTTGTGAATATGGGTTTTGATAGCTCGGGCGAGCAGCATGGATATCATGGTAAGAGTTGGGTAGCTCGACTGAACAAGTCGGATATCAATGGAAAGTAGGGAATAGTATTTTTGATTAGTTGTGGATATGAGTTTTGATAGCCCGGGCAGACAGCCTGGATATCGAGGTAAGAGTTTGACTAAAGATCAAAGGAAAGTAGGGAATGATGCTTTTGATTTGTTGCGGATATGGGTTTCGATAGCCCAAGTGAACAGTCTGGATATCAAGGTAAGAATTTGGGAGACACGATGCTAGAAAACCAGCTGTATGACACGTAAGCAGCGAGGCGAGATCCCATAAAGTATACTTCGTAGTGTTTTGTTGATATATTTATATGATCGAGTGACAAATATAGTGAAGTATATGAAAAAAATTAGGATTAGGGTTCAAGTTTAGAACCCTATCAGGAACAGTACTCAAATAACATTTTTTTTTTTTAACTCCATCAGGATCAGTACTGCTGATCCATCAGGAATAATAATCTTGCATTTACTATATAGTTAATCTTTAATTCTGATATAAATACCAACCCCAACGTAAACCAATTTTAAAGAATTTTGGAAGGGTGAAAATTTATGGTGATACTGGGTAAGATACAAATCGAGGGCACCTTTTTGGAAGTAAAGCGGAAAATATATGAGGAATGGATTAGGAAAGCCACCGTTTGACACTTTAACCGGCGATTTTTCTAGTCCATTCTCATATGCGATGATCACAAATCGACGCTTATTACTGTATAGTGAACATCTATAAAGAATCCAAGAATCCAAGGCCTATTTCAGCTGATTTTACTAGAGAAATATATTGTGCGTGATGATTACTATTTTATCTAACTTTATAGCATTTTTATAGCTGCAGGTTCCGTATTATAATTATATTGCACTATTAAGAGTAGAGCCCCTAAATTAATTCTTTAAATTGACCCAATTAATTCATTTGTCCGCATTATTTTATGTTTAAACTATTTTTTAATATTTGTTTATTATCAGCATAAGAAAATACAAATAAGGAATATGATACAGAAAAAGGCAAATCACTATAGTTTATAGTTATCGTTATACATAGCGATATGGTTATATTAACAACAGAAGGTATTTGATTTGTAGTAACGCTGGATTGCTGGACGATCGTTCGCAGTTATGGCTGATCGGTTTTGATAATTTTAAACGGATACTAACATTAATAGCATTCATTCAAGACAAAAAATCATCGAAAACAGATCAGGCGTACTCTAATTTAATATTTGACACTGTTTAATGGTTATATTTCGAGAACGGCTGATCAGTTTCCGATAATCTTAACGGATTCCATAGTCCATAGTATTCTCTTAAGCACAGGATCATCAAAATTCGATCGGCCACTCTTGGTTTATTATTATAGAATGGATAACGTGGCAGATTAAAATGAAATTTTGCATAGCACGAATTAGATAGGTCACCAAAAAAAAAAGATACAAAATTTTGGAGTGCATGCTTTTAGAGGTAGAATTCGTAGTAAATAAGTATAAGTGGGTTTGGGGGATGAACCTCAAATTTCATTTTAATACAATAAATATTTCGGACCCTTTTTTTTTTTTGAGTTGTATTCTAGCACGGATACAATATGTATTAAAAAAACTTTTCCAATGACCGTCATTCTTTGTATAAGCTATAATTTTATATTTAGAACAATACTTTTTAAACTAATATTTTAAAAAGTTTGCCAAGAATTAATATTTTAAAAAGTTTGCCAAGAATTAATAAATACATATAAGCAATTTAAATTTTTTCTTAAAATCTAAAATTAAATATTGCCATTATAATCGAGGGCCTATATGGAAAATTTGCATTTAGGGAGGCAAAAATCTATAGTATATGCATTATATAGGTTGGAGACAAATAATACCATACATTTAGAGAATTTTTTCATAGACTAGGCATTTAGGAAGGTTGTGTTTAGGGATTTCCGACTTATATGGTGTATTTTAATAAATTTAAGGACGATTTTAACGCTCACCGGAGGTGAAATTCACAGGGTATGTTGTTTCTCAAAAACATCTTTGATAATCGGTATTTGATATACTAAGTGAAAATTTTCAGCACCCTAAAAAAACCTTAACATCTACATTAATTTAAGCCTTGAACCCGTACCCTAAAATTTAATTTTAGCTTTAAAATTTTTCTATAAATCATATAGTAATTAAAAACATGTAGTGAATTTCACCTCCGGTAAATAATAATAATAAAATATTTAACTCGTGATCCGCGTGGGAACCAGTGAAAAAAAACATAGTAAACAGTGGGGATATGTTTACTATGTATTTTTTGCGTTTTTTGGAATCTGGCGTTTCTCTAAAAACAAATCGATTTTATACTAAGTGAACCTCTCTTTTACTTCTAATAAAAGTTGTAGAGGAGAGTATTTAGGTCGTAACTGTGGTTAAACCGTTAAAACCGGTCCAGGGGATCGTGAGATATGTGCATTTTTATCCTCGCGACTATATGCTTGTTTTTTGTTTACTACATATAGCCGCGAAGACAAAAATGCTCATATCTTGCGATCAACTTTTAATGTTTCAACCGCCATTATGACCAGAATTCCCTTCTCTACAACTTTATTAGAAGAGAGATTTACTTAAAAATCGATTTACCATAACTCCAGTTCCCAAAAAAGTCAAAAACAATATATAGTAAGATTTCACTGGTTCCCACGCGGATCACAAATTAAATTTTTTTTTAAGGGGTACTACTATTGCCACCCCCTATTTTTGCCAATACCACCCCTTCACGACCAATTTTCTACAGAAATTAACCAATAAAATTTGGTGATCTACATAGATTAACCAATCAAAAGAAAAACCCAAAAAACCTAAATACAAAAAACGGGTGTCTAGACTTCTCTTGGGCATTAATAGAAAAATGTCGAGAGAGCGATTTTACCTATAACTCTTGCCCGAACTCCAACCTCTGAACAATCCTAACCCTAAGTTTAATTGCTTCGTTTTAACATCCCTCCAAGTAAGGGGGACGTCTAAAGCGGTTTTAGAGTTAGAGTCATCTTATATTAGCGTTAGGTTAGGTTTTAGGTCGTTATATATTAACCCATCCGAGGTAAGTTTAGACTGCCATTTTTTGTATTTTTCAGGTTTTTCGTTTTTATTTCTTGTTTTACTTCGCCGCGATCATCAAAATTCTACAATTTGATTGGTCTAATCTCACGTGATTCTGCTCCGCTTTAGACGACCCCAAATAAGGAAATGTTAAATTTGGCCCCCTTCACATAATAATAATTAGAGTTAGGAATGTTGGAGGCCAATCAGATTATGCGAAGGTGACATTAGCAAAAATAGAGGCAATTCCTTTTTTTAAATACTTTTATAAAATATGTATTTAAACACTAAGAAATTAATTTATTATTTTAATAAATATAGTTATACCTGAGTTATATCCCCACTGGGTTATATCCCAACCTGAGTTATATCACATATTTAAGCAATAAATTTCCTTTTTTTTATGTTTTTATATGTTTTATATATTGAGTTATATTCCTGATTTAGTTATGTCTCTAAAAATGCTCTGGAAAAAAAGAGGATATAACCTAGGTATGACTGTATATAAAAAAGATATCTCTCAAAATTTGTTATTAATAGATTCAATAATACTTTATTAAAAAATTAATTTGGTCATTAATCCTATCATATATGCTTTATTAAAAAATTAATTTGGACATTAATCCTATAATACTTTATTAAAAATTGATTTGGTTATTAATCTTATAATACTTTATTAAAAAATTAATTTGGTCATTAATCCTATAATTCAAGAATTAAAACTTTTTAAAAGATCTTTTAAATTTATTGTTATAAAAACAAACAATTGTGCAAAAGAGACATTAGGACGATATTAGAACAATTATTGATTTAATTGTTATGTGCATTATCTAGATAAATGTTTTTGAAATGTGTTTTTGTGTCTTAGTAAAAATAAATTATTAAACTCTAAATAAAATAGGGTGAGATTTGATATTCGTTAGTAAACTAGGCTTAAAAATTCAAAGCCATCTTAATTGTAGCAAACTTTATAGAATAACTTTGTTATGGAATGTTGATTTAAATAATAAGTATGAAAGAAATGACGGCCAATAAAATAAATGAACCAAGACTTTTATAAGTAGATGATGTTCCGGCAGCAGACTTAGTTGGACTAGCTTCAGGGGTAGGAGTAGGGGTTGATGGTGGAGTATAAACTGAGGCTATTTAATTCAGAAATTAATGTAGTTAATAGTTATCAAAGAAAATTTTAGATTTGATAAATTTGAGTACGTACGTGCAGTGCCACTTGGCTTAATCGAAAACAACTCGGATGTGGTATAAATCATTGAGGCATTAGAAGGGTGGGAGAAGTAAATGAAAAAACCTACAACGAATTCATGAATTCATGAATTGGTTTGACATATATGTGTATACAACGAGTATTTATTTACATAATCTTAATTACCTGTATCTTTACCGTAATTATCGGAAAGGGTAATATTTGTTTTTTGAAGACTAGTAGCAACGGAGTTTGCAAGAGCAAGACCACTTCCAACCGCTAACTGAGGTAAATCCTATACATATAATCATCATTTATAGTATTATTTGAATGTTAATAATATAAAAAATCATAAGAGAATTATGGAACTAAACTTACATTATTTCTCAAATAAATGTTGAAAGATGAGGGATCCGTTGAATTAGAAGTCCACATAACATACTGAGAACTACCATATACCCAATAATATTGCGATGACGGATAAACAATTTCGATTGCGGCTACACCAAATTCATTCGAAAATTGAATGCGCAATGATTTTAAATAATTATTTTATAGTTCGCCTTAAGCATCTTTTTTTTCTTTTTTTTCTTTTTTTTTTTACACTTACTTGCTGAAAAGGTTGCAAAAGCAATCAATAAAAATGAGAAGATATAACCACGCATGTTTATAAAATTTGATATATTTGAAAGAATCTCGTTTATAAAATTTGATATATTTGAAAAAATCTCGTTTATAAAATTTGATATATTTGAAAGAATCTCGTTTATAAAATTTGATATATTTGAAAGAATCTCGCTTGATATTTGTTCAAGTCGACTTCAAAAGAGAAGAGAGTTTTCATGAAAATATTGGGAATAAAAAGTAGTTTTATGCAAGAAGCATATTTTCTAGGGTAATTTAATAAGATCTTGCAGGAACAATATCGATATACAAAGATCGTCAAGATTCATAAAATAAACCACACATTTTTAGTAGATAACACTAAATATAAAATTTTATAATTAGTATATATATACGTATTACATTATTTGCATGTGTGCGATCGCGCCATACCTGATTCTAAATTTATAGTTGGTCATTCATACGTTTCTCAAATATAAAATATATATCTATTTTAATTTTTGAACAAAGTCTTTTATTGAACCCGAATTGTTTTAAAGTGGTGTTTATGTTGTAAATGGATTTGTTAGGGTGTAGGTTTATATAACATAAATTCTACCCTAAAATTATATTAATCTATGCACGTACGTACATATGTACAACGGATGATACAATAACTCAAACTTGTACGTACGTAACATTTTTTAATTAATTAACGTATCGTACGTATGATAGGCATATTTATCTCTATGAACATAATAGTTTGTTGTGTTTATAGTTAACCTCGTACGTACGTAAAAGAAAGTTTAATTGTCACGTATCATGATACACAGTGGCTCTCGATATAACGGAGGCTATGGTTCCAGCCCTTTGCCTGTTATATCAAAAGCTCCGTAATATCAAAATATTATAATTTGGCTCCATTATAATTCTCCGTATTAAGCAATATCCGTTATATCGATGGTCCGTTATAATGAGAGCCACTGTGTATATAAAAAACTTGTGTAAAATTGTTTTTTCCAATGATCACGACATGTAGCAATTTAACAACCTCCTTTTTTAACCCCTCATCACTACATAAAACTACTTTGAAAGTTTATATTTTGCATGGCTCTTGTGACCAAACCGTTATTTTAAAAAAAGGGAATACACTATTCAATGTGTACAACTTCCAGAAAGGATACTCGAACAGGATCATGTGAGAACAGTCAATATCGATATCTGGTGTAGCGTAAAAATTAAAAGCGCTTAAAATATTAGGTTTAATTTAGAACCTTAATAATTGTGGCGGATTTAAAGATTATATAAATGAAATGAGGGATAGTGTAAAATAGACAAGCCACCGAAAATTACAAATTTTTTGGGGTGCATTTTTTTTTAGCCTTTTTTTTAGAGTTAGGTTTAGGGTTTAGGTGTAAGTTTTATAATAAACAAGTGGATTTTAGGCAGGGTTGTCAATGGCAAACTTATCGTGGTAAATTACCGATAAGTTACCATGAATTTTGATAGTAAGTTACCAAATGCTTGCAACCATTATCGTTATCAAAATGTTCGTGATGGTTGACATAAACCTCGGAAACTTTCGGAATAAAATACAGGATAAATTTACAACCTGAAACCTCATTATGATCTGCGACAATAATTACTATAATTACATATAAGCTTTGATCGACAATAAAACTTGTTAAAAAGTTTACTTGTGCTGTTCTTTTCAGTCGACTCAGCATGAATATATTGAGTCTGACTCAATAACTACTTATGAGCAGAATATGCAATGCGTACTAGTTATCGGTCGTGTCGTAGATGATAACTGATTATTCATCTACTAAAGACTCGACTGATAACTTGGTTATCCGACATGTCTGACGTAAGCACTGAATGATCTCCGTGTAACTTATTCGACCACCACCTAATACAGTATACAAAGGTGAGTGAAATACAGAAATCATTCAGTGATCGTGTCTGATAAGAATATGTTATTTGTTACCAAGACTGATGATAGGACTAATTAAGAACTAGCTCGATCTCAGATCTGGTTTGTACTGAACTTTTTAAGAAGCAAACCGAATCTCGTCCATTTACAGTTGATAGAACCGATTGGACTTTTAACATCCGTAAGTGCATGTAAAATGGGGAAATATGCTCTTATAGTGAGATATACTCATAATGTCACATGAAATTACATTGGTGATATGCATTTGCAAAGGGAAAGGTGCCAGGATACACTTATGGTGAACCGACTGTACAAATTTTTTGAGTACATACGTGACAAATCTTGAGTCTTTTTTTCTCGGAATTTAAATTAAGGGTTTGAATTAAATAACTTTGGAGTATGAAATCCTGAACAAGGACCAAAATGTAATAGACAACGAGTGATTTTGTTTTGTTAAAAATACAATGAATGGTATGATTATATAGGCCAGAATTATCCTTGATTGACATGGGTTAATCGGTACGTACCTGGAATTCGTGGTGCCGGAACTTATTTGTGCCGGTAATACAAACTCCTAAAAAGGACATAGCCAATAAACAAAATTGAAAATTCTATTAATAAATTCGAAGGTTTTTTAAAACTTCTAACGATGATTTCTCAATAACTGCTTGATCAAGTTCAGTAAAAACCTTTTATTTTATTCAGTAATTCTGTAGTATCAAAAAAAAAAAAAAATTATAGAATTTGATTTAGTAGTTGTCGAGAAATCATTGCTAAAAGTTTTAAAAACACAAAATATCAAAAAAAATCAAAATCGGGTAAATTTTTTTTCTTTAAACTTTAATTAAGGTTTCTCGACAACCAACTATTCGAATTTGATAAAATTTTTTTTATTTTAATTTGAGGATCCATAGAATTAAATAAAAGAAATTAGATCGGAGTTGAATAGCTGATTGTCAAGAAATATTCATTAAAAGTTAAAAAAAAGTTTGATTATAGCTTCTTTTTTAAAGTTATCTAAACTTTGAACGAAGATTACTTGGCACTTATCTGGTCAAATTCGATCAAAATTTTTTTATTTTAATTGTATGATCATATAGAAGTAAAATAAAAGAAAATTAATTGAATTTAACTAGATAATTGCCAAGTAATTTTTATTCAAAGTTTAGATGTTATAAAAAAAAAAGCTATAGTTAAATTTTTTTAAATTTTAATTTTTTTTTTTAAGCAGCATCTTTTACTATGAACGTTATTATTGTATATGCCAATTATTACATTTTATAGTATACATTAGTATTTTTATAATTTTTAAATTATGATTTAGAACTAATTTATTCTCAGATGCAGGCTACCAAATATATTCTAATCCTGTATTATTATTTATATTTTTAGATTTTTTTATACTAGAATTATAATTGTCTTTGATCTATTATTATATTTCTTATATCTCTTATATCTATCTAGAGCAACTTCCAAGCATATAGATTTCTGTTAGGTTTAGATCTTTGTATTCCTCACAGTATACTTCCTAACTTGGTAATGATTTTATTCAATTTTCTTTGCTAGTATTGGCTTTGTGTTTTTTTTCTATATTCTTAAATCTAGCCTGGGTTTTTTATTTGTTTTTTCAATAGTTAATATCAACCAGTCTTACTTCCTTTTACTAAACAACATTTTATACAACTTATCTGTCATATCAGTATATTGTTAGAAAGCATTTACATATTAAACTAGAATTAATATATTGTGTTTTCTATATCTTTATATAAGGTTTCTGTATATTGGTTGAGTATAGGCTAAAGTTAATACTTTAATCTAAATATATTTATATCTAAATTGATATTTTGTTATAAAGTTATAGTAAAATATAATAATTTAAATTCAGATTTATTTTATATCTAGATATATTCAAATATAAAACATAGTAAAGTATTAATTTTAGTATAAGTTATATTATATAACTTAGTTATTTTTAACTAGATTCATAGTATAATATTATTATTAGCTTTTATCTAAATTGATTGGTATTTAATATTAATATATTTTTGTAGTGTAGTTATACTCTGTTTATATTATTATTACTAGCTTATATCGAAAAAGTAAAACTAATAATAATCTGTGAAGATCATTAAAATTATCAAATCATCGCAGAACTCTAATAAAAAAACTGCAAAGTTCTAATTTTTAAAAATCTTTGAAAATCTTTGCAGTTTTTAAAAAGCTGATTTGTACAAATTTTAAAAGTAATGATCTTTGCAGATCTTTTCTTATCAGTTTTTAATTTTATTATTTATTCTTTTGGCAAAATTAACTTGGCAACCCTATATGATTAGCCAATCATTTTTTAGATTGGTGATCATATAAGTAGATTATAGATCACATTTTTTTGCTTTCACCTCTTTGCTTTTCACTTTTTGCTTTGTTTTTGCTTTGCTTTTTACTTTACTTTTCGTTTTTCGCTTGTCTTGCTTTTTGCTTGCTCTTTGCTTGCTCTTTGTCTTGCTTTTTATCTTGCTTTTTGTCTTGCTTTTCACTTCACCTTTGCTTTGCTTTTCGTTTCACTTTTTGCTTTGCTTTCTCTTTGCTTTTTGTTTCGCTTTTTGCTTCGCTTTGAACAGGTTTGTATTTTTTTTTTTTTAGTTTCTTTTTTTTATTTTGAAACTAACAATTTTTTTTCTTTATTTCGTTTTTTTCCTTTTTGTTTCTTTTTCCTTTTCATTTTTTTGTTCGTTTTTGTTTCTTTTTATTTTTTATTTTTTTTATTTTTTTTTCTATTCGGTGGTTCCTTCTTCCCATTTCTTTTTTTTTGCTTTTTATTCCTGTCTTTTTTTTTCTTTTTCCCTTCATCTTTTTTTCTTTTTTTTCTCTTTGTCTTTTTGCTTTTTTTTTCCCTTTGTCTTTTTTCCTTCTTTTTCTCTTTGTCTTTTTTTTCTTTTCATTTCTTTTTCTTTTTATTTCGTTTTGTTTTCCTTTTCGTTTCTTTTTCCTTTTAGTTTCTTATTCATTTTCGTTTCTTTCTATTTTTTTTCTTTACATTTTTTTTTCTATTCGATTCTTTTTTTTTATTCTTTCTTTTTCTATTTCTTTTCTTTTTTTAACCCCACAAACTACAGAACTGAACGATGAATC